TTTTCCGTCACCGAGCATTGGAATATATTCATTTTAGAGCTTATCAGTAGTTCAGTCATGATTCCCTAATTGAAGTAGTTATATCAACCCTCTTAGGTGGCTCAAGGTCTTGAGCCCTTTTTTTTTTTTTAAGGCAAATTTTTTTGTGATAATATTTACTGTTTTAATTATTACTAAGTGTATGATTCAGTGCCATTGGGTATATTTGCAGTGTTTTATAAACGTTGCCACTCTGTTTTCAGAACTTTTTCATCATCCCAGTTTCCCCATTGAGCGATAGCTCCCCATTCCTCCATTGCCTGACCTCTAGTAACTTTTATTCTACTTCCTGTCTCTATGAGTTTGCCTGTCTAGATACCTCATATAAGTGGAATCATATATTTGTTCTTTGTTAGCGTTTGCCTAATGCTAACAAAATATACCTAATGGCACTGAATTGTACACTTAGTAATAATTAAAACAGTAAATTTTATCACAAAAAAATTTTCCTTAAAAAAAAAAGAAAGGGCTCAAGACCTTGAGCCACCTAAGAGGGTTGACATAACTACTTCAATTAGGGAATCATGACTGAACTACTGATAAGCTCTGAAGTGAATATATTCCAGTGCTCAGTGACGGAAAATGATCATCACATATGATAGCTAACAGAGTTCATCCATCTTATATCATGCACCAAAACTTCATTTATTTTTATGGTTGATTAATATTTCATTGTACATATATAGCACATTTTGTTTATCCATACATTTTCTTCCTTAAAGATTTATTTATTTATTTTGGAGAGAACAAGGGGAGGGGCGGAGGGCAAGGGAGAGGAAGAGGGAAGGAATCCCAGGCATACTCCACACTGAGCAGAGTCTGCCACGGAGCTCAGTCTCACCACCCATGAGATCGTGACCTGAGCTGAAACCAAGAGTCGGACTGTCGACCGACTGAGCCATTCAGGAACCCTGATCCATACATTTTTTGATAAGACACTAGTTGAGTAATGCTGCAATGAACATTGGTGCACAAATATCTGTTAGAGTCTGTGCTATCAGTTCCTTTAGATATATACCTATCTAAAGGTAGAAGTAGTGGATTTGGGATCCAGGAGTGGAATTGCTGGATCATATGATAAATCTATGTTTAACTTTGTGAGGAGCTGCCAAAGTGTTTTCCACAGTGGCTGATCCATTTTGCATTCTCATTAACAATGCACAGGGGTTCCAGTTTCTCTCTGTGCTTGGAAACTTTTGTTTTCTGTTTTTTTGGATAATAGTCATCCTATTGAGTTTGAAGTGATATTATGGTTTTGATTTGTATTTTCCTAGTGATTTGTGATGTTAGCATCTTTCGCAGTCTAGAGAGGCTGAGAATTGTCCAAGGCTGAGAATTGTCCAAAAAGCTGATTTTTTGCTTAACAGTTCCTTTCTCAATTTATCTCTTTCTCTTGCATTTAACTATAATCAGCAAGGAGAAACCAGTACACACCTTTAACACTTTGCTTGGAAATCTCTTCAGCTAAATAAACAAATTCATTGCCTACGAGTACTGCTTCTCACTCAATGGTAGAGCACATTTCAGCCCAGGTTTTCTGCTACTTTATAATGAGGATTGCCTTGCCTCTGGCGTCCAATAACCTGTCCCTCATTTCCTTCTTGAGACTTTACCAGAAGCCCCTTTAACACTCATATTTCTACAACATTCTGCTCCTGACAATATATGTATTCTCTAAGATGATAGTTTTCTCTGCCATCCTGTCCACTACCTTCTGAACCTTTACCAGAATCTCCTTAATATGTCTGTTTCTACCAGCAGCCTCTTCAAGGCAATCTACCAACACTCTCTTCAGTTTTCTTTTATGTTTAGGTGTCAGAGCAACATTCCACTTCCCAATACCAAAATCTGTATTGATTTCCTAGGATTTCCATAACAAATTACTACAAACTTGGTGGCTTAAAACAACAGAAATTTTGGGCGCCTGGGTGGCTCAGTTGGTTAAGCGACTGCCTTCGGCTCAGGTCATGATCCTGGAGTCCCTGGATTGAGTCCCGCATCGGGCTCCCTGCTCGGCAGGGAGTCTGCTTCTCCCTCTCTCACTCCCTGTTTGTGTTCCCTCTCTCGCTGTGTCTTTCTCTGTCAAATAAATAAATAAAATCTTTAAAAAAAACAAACAAACAGAAATTTTGACTTGGTCAGTTTGGGAAACCAGAAGTTCAAAATCAAGGTGTCAGTAGAGCCATGTTTGTTCCAAAGGCTTAAGGGGAGAATCCTTCCTTGCTTCTTCTAGATTCTTGTGGCTCCTGTTGTGCCTGGGCTTGTGGCAGCATAACTCCAACCTCTGCCTCCATTTTCACATTGTCTTTTTCTCTGTGTCTCTCTGTGTCCTTTTCTGTCTCCTATAAGGACATTCTCTTTGGATTTAGGGCCTACCCTAATCTAGTATGATCTTATATTGATCTTTACCTTAATTATATCCACAGAAACCCTACATCCCAATAAAGTCACATTCTGAAATTCTTGGTGGACATGAATTTAAAGGGGAGGGAGGAACATTACCCAACTCACTACAGTCTCTTTTTAGATAATTATATTATAAATGCATTATAATCTATTCATAATTTTTAAATTACTTGTATGTGATATTTTGAGATTATTTTTAATATACTAATACCATTAATGTTAATATTCATATTAGAGAATCCTGAATAGGGAAATCACTCTTCTTTTCAGACTTGACAATATATTATTAGAAGGGTTTATTTCATGTATCTTTGCTTTTCAGTGAGGATAGTGTGCATATGCGCATGGACACACATGAATAAAAAGCACTAAAGTTCTGTTGACTTTAAAAAGTTTGTTACTCAGTATTTATTCACACTGACGTGGTGAGATCCTAAATCACCTCTTTATTAGAATAGTGGTGGTCTCAAATTGATTGGACTGAGTGTGCGAGGTTAAATTTTCTTGAAATTTTTGAGTTTCAAGATTGACTCCAAAATGCTTAGTGAGTTCTTCAAATATTTAAATAACTCAGTGGAAAAAATATTTTTACAAGTAACAACAATATAAGTTTATTGAGTTTCCAATCAGTTAGATTGTTAAGAGCAAGGACAGTGCCTGTAAATGGGTAAAGAGTATATTTAAGCAGACTGTTGGAGAAAAAACTCACTTTTGAGGGTCCTAACAAAGACAAAAAGATGGTAGGGTCATAAAGGGAGGAGTTTGAATAAAACAAAAATTGAGATTGAAACAAATGTGTTAGAAAAGAGAGGGAAGATAGACTGGTAGAAATAAGTATCACAAAAAGTGAAATGTACAAAAGCAAAAGCAAGAAATAGGATAAGAGAAAGACTTTAAGCAGGGCAAAATATAAGAAATAATGCCATGAATAACTTAAAGGGTAGAAGATTAATAAATCAGTTTCTTTTGACTTCATTAAAATTAATGATAATTGTTAGAGAATCACTGTAGTCTTGCTATCATATACTTAAGTCAAGCTTTTCATATTACTTTGCTGGAAGAAAATAGTAGGAACCATTTTACATATTATTCATTAAATTTTAAATAAATATATTATTCATATATTAATAATATATTGATTTGTGATGATGTATATTATGTAAATTATATATAATCATGAATATTTAAAGATGAATATTCATGTTATCTTTTTTTTTTTTTTAAGATTTTATTTATTTATTTGACAGAGAGAGACACAGCGAGAGAGGGAACACAAGCAGGGGGAGTGGGAGAGGGAGAAGCAGGCTCCCCGCAGAGCAGGGAGCCCGATACGGGACTTGATCCCAGGACTCTGGGATCATGACCTGAGCCGAAGGCAGTCGCTTCACCGACTGAGCCACCCGGGCGCCCCTATTCATGTTATCTTTTAATGGCAAAATTTTATTTTTCAGTGTAGACACTGAAATGTTGCATGTAAACACATAAAAGCAAACTGTTTAACATCTCAAATAAAAGTGGAAATAAATCTTTATTTTGAAGTAAAATTGACATACAGTATCCTATTAGTTTCAGGTATACATCGTAGTAATTTGTTATTTTTATACATTATGAAATGATAAGTCTAGTTATCTGTCACCAAAGTTATTTAACTATGTTCCCTATGCTGTATATTATATCCCATGACTTACTTATTCTATAACTGAAAGTTCATTTTACAATTGGAAAAAAAATTTTTTTTTCAGTCATAAGACCAGACATGGAGCTATTTTAGTTGAGTAGGTGGCAGGTTTTGACATCCAAGACAGTATCAAACGTAGTATGTTTTTCATTTGTCACATTTTAACTCATCACAGAGTTTTTCTGCATTATCATGTGCATTACTTGTATTCAGTAAGTATTTGACTAGTCAGTCTTAACATACCTGCATTATACACTACTTCTCTGCTGCCTTTTCAGTGTTAAAATTAACTTCAGATATTCATATTGACATGTAGAAATGACGTTATATCCTGTTACTTGCAAATTGTTTAGACTTTAATATATTAGAACTGCATATATTTGGCTGATCAACTCCTTTAAGTCCTTGACCACTGTTCTCTCTAGTTTGATTGATAACGTCACGCACTTACTTTCTTCTGGTTAGATTTTTTTTTTTTTTTCTTAAGATTTTTTATTTATCTATTCATGAGAGACAGAGAGAGAGAGAAGCAGAGGGAGAAACAGGCTCCCAAGGAGCAGGGAGCCCAATGCGGGACTCGATTCCAGGACCCTGGGATCATGACCCGAGCCAAAGGCAGACACTTAACCATCTGAGCCACCCAGGCACCCCAACTTCTGCTTAGATTTTCTGGTGGATAAAGGACTTTACTATTCTGGGGTATTTTTAATTGTTTTATCCAAAGTATTATCATATATCTGAATTCAAAATCCCATTGACCCACTAAGAGGAATATATACCTTAACAACTAAGAGACATTTAGTCATATTATATGCTAATTCAACCAACATGGCTGAGGGAATTCTTTACCTCATGTAATTTTGATTTCCTGCTTTAGGAATCCTGAATTTGTGGATTATCCATATATACTTTGAGACATGCTTTAGATGTTTTTTTCTGGAAGCCTTGCATCTGCCCTAAAAATTGAATGTATTGTAGAACAGATCTATGGTAAGTGGTGTTTTTTTTTTCTCCTTTTTCTTCTGTCAGTTTCATGTTCATGTTAAGTCTTATGAATGTTGTAATGCTGCTCCCTGCTGGACACAGTGCAATTTTTTAAAGTTGGCACTTAATAGATGGGCAAATAACTGGTTAGCGGAATCCACTAAAGAGGGTGCATTCATAGAAAAGCAACAGTACACAAAAAAACAACTTTATTATTGTAATGGGTGATGCCATTGTGATTGTGTGATATCTGGAGTATGATGAAGGTGCTGATGCTCTTGCTTCTACATTTCATTGTCTGCTTGTGTAGTGGTATCTACAAGTTACAACAAACATACATTGAAAGATGCTTGTAGATGATGGGATTTCCTAAACTGTATGTATATAATGTTTATAACTGAAGTCAGTTTATTATTTTTATTTTTTGTTTTTTTGTAATTTAATTTCCTGTACTTCTGTTTTTCCAAAGAAAATATTTAAAACAGCTCCAGTATAATTTAAATTAGGCATTATTGGATCTATTTTTAATGGATCACCCTATGCTACACTTTATACAGTGGACTTTAAGTGTAACTTGCTTTGTATATTCATCATATAATCCAACTATCATGTTTTCTAGTACACACAGTGAAAATATTTACAGAGTGACATTGGGTTGGACCTCAAGTGTCATGTCTATGTCCATCTTATTATGAAACCTCACATTGTGTGCATACACAGGTGCTCCCAAAATTGTTAGAAAATGTGTGACAGTTAAGAAGAGTGTTTTTCTTCTTTCTCATGAGCTAAAATGTATTTTTTGGAGTGCAGCCTGTATAAAATTATTACCTAGATATAATGTGGATTTTTTTTGAAAGTAAGCATACATTTCGTTGAAAAGAAGAAAAAGTAACAGAAACAACATTGAGCTAAGCAAAGATTTAATAGGGTAGCTATTCTTATATTTTTTTGTAGCCATGGGAAAGCCTGTGAAATTGACTCTTAATTAAGATTGTGGAGAATTAGGCATAGTAAATTATTTCTTTATTATTAAATATTACAATAAAAATTAGAAACGTAGACAAGAAAATAAATTGTTAGCAAAAAAGAGGAACCCTCTTTTCCTTCTCTATAAAAATATATTATTTCAGAAAACATACCATTTTAAACTTATTATAAAACATAACATCATATAGAAACATAAATGTAGGGGCGCCTGGGTGGCTCAGTCAGTTAAGTGTGTGCCTTCAGCCTAGGTCATGATCCCAGAGTCCCAAGGATGGAGCCCTGCATTGTGCTCTCCACTCAGTGTGGAGTCTGTTTCTCCCTCTCGCCCTCCCCCCTGCTTGTGCTCTCTCTCAAAAAATAAATAAAATCTTAAAAAAAAAAAAAAATGTATAATAAAAGGAATAAATATAAAACAAGCATCCATGTAACCATAGATCTTTACTGGCATCCCAGAAACCCTTGATATAATCTTCCTTTTCTTTAAAAGTAACGAATGTCTTGATTTTTATGGTAATTATTTATATAAACTCTATATAATTTTTATCATTTTTATGTGTATTTCTCAGCAATATTTTCACTTTTTGTCTCTTTAATCTTTATGGAATCACGAATTTTTTGTAAACAATTTAATATTTTATTGGAAATGTTTTTGTTATTTTGTAAGAGAAGGGTATAAAGAATTAGAGATCTCAATGTAAAATCAGAGAGGACTCTTCAGTGTACTGGGGAGCTGAGGGAGAGGAGGAGTTCTAAGGCATTTAGATGTAGCAGCAGTTAGGGTGGAATTAAGATGCCTGGGGAGAGGCTTGTGGCCTTTCACAGTAAGTGGGAGGCTGGAAAGATGGCTACAAAGGGACAGCATTCTTCAGGAAAGGGTATAGACTAGGGGTGGATGGGTCCTATCAAAATGCAGTTAGAGAACACTGGGGGGAAACAGGTGGGTTATCTAGTGTGTACTGCTTACAGGACCCCAAACCTGATATTGTCACAGTGCTCACATTGTGTTTCTTAGAACAAGTCTAGGGGCAGAAGCTCAGAACCCCTTCTCAGTAGGGATGGAGGCCACCATGTTGCTGCTGCTGCTGCCACTGCTTAGCCCCTTCTACTGCATGGTGAAGGGTGGAGGAAATTCCCAGCAACATATGGCCCAGGTCTTGCAGCAACAAGGAGATCCAACTGGAACAGCCCCCTGGTACTTTCTTTGGACCAGGTCCTTGAGAACCTCACTGTTCATGGAGTAGAGCTTATAGAATGTGGCTTTGATGTTGCCACATTTGAGGCTGCCAAAGAAGTTCCAGGGGTTTTGCTTCTATGTGGAAGGTGATGAGGGTGATGTCCTTTCTGTGCTTGGTGTTCTCCCGGCCTGGGCCATATGACAGCACGCATTCCTGCTGGGGTCCAGCTTTTCCCCAAATCCAGCACCATCAGGCATGTGTCATCTTCCAACAGCTAGAGGAAGTCCTTGCTCTCCATAGAGGTCCCTTCCTCTCTAGCACCAGTTAGCACTCCAGTCAGCTGAAGGGTCTCCATTGCCTTGTCTAGCAGTTCTTAGCAGGTGGCAGCTTTGATCACAGAGACAGAAAGGTGGCTGGGGGTGGTGGAGCTGAGGTCCAGACCGTATGGCTAAGCTCAGAGCTCATACTGGATACTGACCGAGGACTGGCGCCTGTGCCTGCCTTCGTGCTTTCCTTCAGAGTGGTGCTTGCCTGCTACACCATGATCCTGACATGGCTGTGGGGTGCCCACTGGGGTATCAGGCAGCATGGGACATGGATGGGTCAGCCGGTAAGTGCCATTGTCTGGAATCATATGTATTCTTTCTTCCTTTACTCAGCATTATGTTTTGAAGATCATCTATGTAGTTGCAAGTAATATTCTTTCCTTTTCATCATTATATATTATTCCTTGGGAATGACTATGACAGAATTCATTCATGCTCTTGTTGGTGGATATTTGGGTTGTTTCTAGTGTTTGGCTATTATAAATGACATTGCCATGAATGTTCTTTTACATATCGTATGTTTTTTTATCTGTGTAAGGTAGAAAAAGTCATATATTTTTGGGTTAAAGATAATTGATTATATGGTATTTTATTTTTATTTTTTTATTTTTTATTTTTCCTTTTTTATTTATTATTATTATTTTTAATGTTTTTATTGTTATGTTAATCCCCATACATTACATCATTAGTTTTAGATGTAGTGTTCCATGATTCATTGTTTGTGCATGATTATATGGTATTTTAAATTAATTTAAATGAGTACATGAGAAGTTTGTTATATCTTGAGAGTAACACCTATTAAATATTGGAAAAGATTCTGAAATTTTTATAATTTCTTTTACTCTAGGCCTTAAACGTAAAGTGGCATATAGTTTGTGATAGTTTCAAAATAGTACATGTATAGTTAGATGTATAGATAAAGTGAAGAAATAGATTATAAGACTTAAGGTAGTACCTCTGTGGTTTACTTTATCACTACATTCATTCTGTTAACTATCATGTCATACTCTGTATAACTCCTTCGCTTTACTGATGAAGAAACTAAGGAGGGCTAGAGAGACTGAGACACTTGGACAAGGTCACTTATCAAGTCAGAGCTAGAAACTAGATCAACCTGTCTACTTGGCAGTCACAATTTAAAGAAAACAAAGGGAAAAGTGAAATCAGGATATTTTCTTGAGTGTGTCCAGCCATTTAAGTGGAAAATTTGCCTGACTAGCTTTCAAAAATTATCAGATATTCTTTTGACTCTCAACCAAGAATTGGCTTAGGACAGGGAATTCCCTGTTTGAAGCCCCCAAAATGTTACCGCACCTTATCATAGTTCACCTTCTAAAAGACAGCCATAGTATAGTCTAACCTTGAGAATTTTACTTTGAGTGATTCCTCATTCATTAGGCCTTGTTAACAAATGGTATATTTCTAATCTGTTAATTTTGTGGATAATTGAATCTTAACCTTTTAGTGCCAAAACTTGTTTGGTATGAACATTTTTTCAAAATGTTTCTGAAACAGAAAATTTAACCTCTGTTTTCTTAAACAGAGCAAAGGGAGTATAATTTAACATTTTTTTCTTGTTTGTTTGTTTTTATGGCCCAGAGTTGTCATTATGAACATCAGTTCCTTTATGGAATTTATGTGACTTCCTCAGAAGCTTTTGCTGTGTAGAACTGTTCTCCTAAATTGTCCTAAACTGATAAGTTTTATGTCCGGGTGCTACTTGTAATGTGTGGCGTTTGTTGTGTTTTGTCTTGTTTTACTTTTGTTATGTAATTCTTGTCTTTTGCTGTCAGTGTGTTATATTGACTCTAATATTAAAATCAACATTTGCATAACATATTGTTTAGGTGAGCGCTTAAGTATGGATCTGTTCCATCTACTGACTGAGGGCACAGAAGGTGTGGCAGCTTTTTAAAATTTACTTTGTGTTCATGAACTAGGCTAGCCACTTTGTTTCAGAGGCCTGAGATTATCTGACAGCTGATTTCTGAACAATTGAGATGCAGCATAGATTGCATATACCAGTCCTTATTTGGGGAATAAAAATTATGCACAAATTGTCTTATAAAACAGTGATACTGAAATAGAATACTTATTTGGGGAATAAAAATTATTATGCACACATTTTCTTATAAAACAGTGATACTGAAACTGGAGTTGCTTAAGGATTCCTTCAAATGGGAAGTCCAATGGACTTAAGTGGGCATTTTCTAATTATAAAATATTTGATAGGATAGGCATTGAAATAAAAACAGTGTATTAGATGACATGGCCATTTGAAAATGGTAGTCATAAAAATTAAACCACCTTTGAAATGATAGCTTTTTCAAGGACAATATAGAAGTAACACAGATTTGGTTCAGGAAAACATTCATTTCAAAGTGAAATGCATTTGACTGCTTACCCAATTATAAGCTACTGAATGTGAATTAAAAAAAAAAAAAAAAACCTGGGGTGGGAGAGTATATTTGTTTTTGGATCACAGGAGATAATTGGGAGGAAAGATAAATAGTTGCTA